AAGAAATCAGGAAAATCGTTGAGCTGAGCTAATAAACTAGGAACAAAGAATCAAAAAAATCTGTCACGAAAGTTGTGTTTAGAATTATCATTATTATTTCAATCTTTTCTCACTAAGTTTGCAGTTGACATAATGTCAGCTCGAAAACTAGTCGAAAAACAGTGACTGAAATTTTGTCAAAATATTTATTGTCCATCTTGGAAATCATAGGTCCAAATGGAGTTTCTACTTGCGCTTGCGCCACGACTTAGGAAACTTGAAAAATATTTGTAGCGAAGTGGGTATTCTGCTTACCGGGTAAGCTGCAACGCTGAAACCGCAGAGGTCAGCTTTTTGAGTTATAGTTAAATGTCTCACTCTGCAACTGTGGTATGTTCTACTTTTCGCTTTCGTATATGGGAACTGATAACACGATCATTGAAAAGTGTCACTTTTACGATTAGGGCTTTAGAATAGTTGAAAAAGGCGTCTCGTAATTTGATGAATGTTATTCATTCTGACCCTTCTGCCTGAAGCCACGCTTGTACTGTTCTTCGTCTATCCGCTACGCATAACTGTGTTTTTAAATCTAAAAGACAAATTTTCAAGTATTTGTGTTGTTTAACAAAAAATTCCATGGGTTTTAATAGTCAGTACCACATTTCTAGGATGGCACCAGTGGTCACAGATCCGCTGCTCAGAGGTTTAACGCAAACGCGATGCTTTTCGCCGTGGTGTTGATGTTGTTGGTATGTGTCGGGCCACAAGCACCGGCTCGGTTGCTTTTTGCGTATTACGGTCAGTACCATCTGACCACTATCGCATACACATGCATCACACAGCAAGTAAGCACTTTTTACTTATTCGTATTTTTATGCGTTTTTGCATATGTGCAAATGCAAAAAAGGAAATTGTAAAGATCTTGTGTGTACTTACCTACGTTTGTATATACTTGTTTTTTACGATTCTTTCATACGTTCCGATGGTAAATTGGTATTGGCATATTGCCAGAGAATCAAACTCACTATCAGCTTGCTCGTAAGCAACTCTCGAAAGAGAGCCATCGGCAGCTTTACCAGTGAGTGTTTGCTTTGGCATTTGCTGCCACCCATCTAGTGTCTTCACCTCTCCCAGGGAGCAAATGCGAAATTTCCGACTTTTTAAGCTATTGCGGAGTTGCAGCTTGTTTTTCTGAATGCCGCGCTAAATTTTTGCCTGTATTGCCTGGTGAGCAGACGTTATCGGCAACTGATGGCGCAGACGCTGCGGCGAATGCTCGGTCGAACAACCATTAGCAAGTAAGGTACTTCATTTTCTTTCATTCAGTGCAGATCTACACAAAATCTTATGGTTCAAGTCCTCATAAAATTAAGTTGAGTACTTGTGTCATTAAACCATACTAAATAAATGAATTTTATGCGAAACCGTACTGAATAAATGATTCTGAGTACGCTTGTGTGTGTGTGTGTGTGTGGTGTGTGTGTGTGTGTGGTGTGTGTGTGTGTGTGTACACATGTATATCCCAGAAACATGGATGCGGATTCTTTGAAATCCCTGTTTTCAGTCTTTGATCCAGAGATATTATTATGGACGCTCCCTCAAGCTACTTTGTGCCTCACAGTTCACGTTCAAATTTAAGCTGATTCATACAACTCCAGAATAGAACAAGCTATAAAGTTGAAATTTTTTTAGGCAACCCCAACGCAAGTTAGGGCAGTTGTGCTTCAAATGCACAGTAGTCTCAGTTCAGCGCATTCCTGTGGCTGCAAGCAAGTAGTGATGCTAATTGCTTTGGTCCAGCTCGCCTCGCTGTTGTCTTCGCTAACGAATTAGTCTGATGAAAGTTTGAGAGTGCATAGTTTCACAAATCTCGGCTTTTTCCCTCACACTGAATCGTTGCTAAATGTTTAAAACTGCTTCTCCGTTTAGGTGTCGCTCATCGATCAAGCTGAATGGAAGGAGCCGGAATTCTTCGATTCAAAGATAAGCAAAAACAAGAATGATCACTTCGGAACTGAAGAGTGATCTAAATCGTCACCAAACAATAATAAAATCTGAATATGCATTTGTACGGTTCCGTGGTATGTCCAAGCTATGCAAAATGTCCAAATCGTTGAATTTATGTCATTAAACCATTGTCTTTGAAGTCCAAAATGCAGCCAGAAGCATACTTTAAACTTGGATTTTATCCGCTGCGGAACAGTGATTCAAATTTTGCCTAAAAAGCACAGACCAAGACGATATGCAAAGGGCTTCCGAATTCAGTCAGCAGAAGTCGTAAAATATCCAAACAGTTGTAAATTTGTGATGAGTAACGATATTAAGAGTATGACAAATGGGTCGTAGTCTTTTTAATCAGACGACGAAATGAAATTTAGGTACGTCAGCAGGTTGACAGCCTAACAATAAAAATAACTATGGACATGAAAAAGCTATCAGCTGCACAAATGAAGAAACATACCAGGCCAGGTATTCCAGTTATAAGTGAGAAAGGAAAATAAGTATTGGCTGGGCAAAAAAAGGGGAAAAGGAGCATCAGATTAAACATGATTCGAAGGATGAGGAGAAAAAAAAAGTGATCAGCTCTGGATAACTTACCAAAAGAATAACAAGTTTAAAAAAAAAACCCCAGGCTGCAAGCACCAGTCTTGTCGGTGCAATCATTTGCGCTAAACTTGCAGATTGCTAACAGCAGGGGTGGTCCCCTCGCTGTAGTTTAGCACTTGGACACATGTTGCCTGTGTTTTGGTCTTTTTTCGCGTGCAGATGAAAGAGCATCAGTTGGGATAGAGGTCTTGCATTATGGGACCGCATAGATCTGCAGCATACATATTTGTCGGTTTTTTTGCATGAAGTCCGGTCGCTTTTTCGGTGGATGCTCGTTCACTGAAAAAATGCAAATTTTAAGGAAATCGGAAGAGGAATAAGAAATCTGCAAAACACACTCGTTTTTATGCGTTTTTGCTGTGCGCTATGGCGCTGCTACAGCCAGCAAAAACGCATATTGTCGAGAGGCTGTCTGTGTGTGTGTGTG